TTTGAGATACGGTGGCCGGAAATCATCGTCGTTATGGCTGGGGCGAGCCCGTAGTGGAACCTGATCCTGTTCCTCATCACGTACGACGAGCATGGTGGGTTCTTCGATCACGTGCCCACGCCCGTGCGTGGGGTGCATAGCCCTGATGGATCAGTTACATTTTTTTTAAAATAAAATTAAAATTAAAAGTAATGATGTGGCAATTTAGTTGAGATGGCAATTTATGATTGGGAGGACAGAGTTTGGAGACAGGAATTGGAGACAGAAGATTTTGATCCAAAAGGCAGATGGATGCAAGGTTTCTATGGGCACCTAATCTTCCACTGTATTGAACGAGATAAATAACTCTTTATTTTATGAAAAGATAATTAAGGTGATTGTAGTTTAATTACATGCACATTATCTAATTAATAATTTCAAGTTGACATTCATTATATTTTGGGTCTATCGTGATATAAATAGTATTGTATTTTGAGAAATTATATCTTTTAATTATGTCATGTCATTCTAAATACATTTACTTTTATTATTGACATGACACAATTAAAAGATATAATTAGTTGTTAGTGTAAAAAAAATTTATACTAACAATGTATAAGTGATTAATTCTTATATTTATTATCTCAAGTGAATTACTTATTTAAGCATCATTTTTTGTAAATACATTTTTTTGATTTAGTAAGATAACCGAATTAAGAAAATCAATAAACAACACTTTGAAAAAAAGAATAGAGAGTATCTTAATACATGTACAACATATTTTTCAAAATTCATTTATTTTCTTTCGTCAATCACAAAATAACTTTTTTTTTTTCTTCTAATCTTATTTCTTGAAAATAGAATAGTTGTATACTTTTCCATCGATTATTTATGAAGACGGACAAAACACTTGAAGTAATTAAATATATTTTAATTTTTTTAATCATCTCAAATTATAATAATGTATTGTGTTTATAATATATATATATATATACGTTTTAAATTAAATGCAAATTTAATTTAAAAATATTTTTAAAAAATTAATGTTCTCATCATTTAACACAACAATATAAAAATGGTTAATTTATTTCTTATAAATTATTCAACTCATCACAATTAAAAATAACATAATTATTTAAAAACAAGGGTAGGAGAATTATATCAAAAGTGATATATTTATTACTTTTCATAATTTTTGTGTAAAAATTTTGTGGGATAAGGAGTAGTTTTGTTAAATACTACCTTGCCGCTCAAGATTTCTACACATAAATTAAAACAATAATAAAAATATTATCCTTTTATACAAAATTTAAAAAATAGTATCACTTTGTCAAATAAAAACCTTACTTTAAATTATAATTATTGAATAATTCATGGAGAGATAAATAAAAAAATATTATAATAAAAACGTAAAAATATCAATAATTTTGAAATATTTTTTAATACTAAAATTGTAACCAATTTAAAACAAGGTAAAAATACTTCTTTAATCTTTATAATTTTACTTACTTTATCTTTATAATTCAAAATATTTTTTTTTGTCTTTATATTTATCTTTTTTAGTTTTTATAGTTTAAGATAGATTTTTTTAGTTCATATACTTATAATTGTTTAATCTTTTAGTTACTAGCAGTGTTTTAAAACCCGGACCGACCCGGCCGGTCGGACCGGTTGGACCGGGAAC